CGGATATCCAGACCCCAGCAGTAGTAATAGACTAGGCCACATTTTCACCAGGAACTGCCACTAGTAACAAATGTATCAACGCGTACAGTAAACTAAATGGAAAATGTGTTGTAGAAAGAGTTAAGGTAGTAGAAAAACACCCAACTTCCACACTGAATCATATAGTGACTAATGAAACAATTATTTTTGGAAACAAAAGATTCCTTTTGTGTTTTTTCCAAATGAAAAGCATCTTAAATTCCACAAATTAATCCTACTGATATTATAATTATAAAGAGATACCCATCTTTTTTTTAGAACTAAAGCCTTATCTAACCACTTTGATCTAACAAAAGTGCTCTGACTCTTAAAAAGCATGTCTAGACAGGACTACAAGCCCCATGGGCTTTTTCAGGTAGATGAGTGTCAAATTATTGTCTGCAACTGTGAGGTAGAGGCTTTCTTTGCACCCTGATCCTGGCTTAATGGCATGCTATCAAACACCACCGAAACTATAATCTGTCTTTAAATCATACACCATTTATTTTAATGTGGCTGCTTAATCTTGATAAATGGTGTGCTCCTGGGTTTTGTTCCTGTTTTATGTGTTTGGTTCATTGTAGCCGGTGTGATGGGCTTAAAATGCGAAGTTTCGTGGGAAAACAATGAGATTGCAATAAATAAATAAATAAAAAATCACACACACAAGAAGAGGAAGAAATAGTGCCAAGGAGGTATTCAGTAGGCTTCGTCTTAGCATGTGCATCTGAGAAATATGTTTACCACGGTTCGATTCCAGTTTTGTCAAGAGAGCCTTTCAAAGACGCACTAATTTTACTCTATTATCACCTCTGACGCTTATATTCACCAACATGTGTCGTGTGACAGCCCTGACGAAGTACGGTTCTGTGTTGTGAAACAGATTTCCTTTGGGAGCAATGGTGCAAACTGAGCTGGATTAAGTTTACTCAAGTTTAAACAGACCCCTGATGTAAAGCCACGAGTGTGGAATAAGTAAGAAACGCCTTATAAAACACGTCAAAGTGAAAATCTGACTTTAGCTCATGTGGTGGTAAAGCGTGCAATAAACTGTAGCTTACTTTTAACAGCAGAAATGCGCATACGACAAACGGTTTCATGTCTTCAGCTCCAAAATCCTCTTTGGCTTCGACACACAGGGGCGTCTCAAAATGGTCCACAGAACAGTGTTTTCACTCTGCAGCCTCCAACAATGGCATGAAAAATGCCAAAACCTCAAGTTCCCCGAGTCTAGTTAAATACACCAACTTGTCCTAAAACGCGCTGGTTCCACAGAAAGGAGAATTCGGTCATAGTCCAGTAACCAGATGAGGGTTTTTACGCGTGAGGAAGCAGTTTTAAAATGTGTATAATCCTTCGGTCTTCTCCGCGTAGCGCTGCAGCCCGATGCGTCTGTGTCAGTGCATTCCTCAATGTTACCTTAAAACAAAGTTTCTTCTGTCTCAGCTCACAGGACGCACCAACTGCCACACTCCTGCAGCTTTGCAACAGATGAATCTGCTGCGAGTTCTCAGGAGCCTTTTCTCCTCCCATCGACTCGGCTTTCAGTGCGGCTTCGTGATTGGCTGCATCCCGGAGCTCGGTAACAAGTACAGACGATACAGGAAGGGAGAAAAGTAAAGGTAACCGTCCTTGTTATCGACTGTGTGTCAATGTTATGTATCTAATGTTACGTGTATTAGTCTACAGGCTCAGTGCACTAGCTTAAAAAGAGCAGCCCCAAAGTTTCCAGTATTAAACACAATAATGGGACATAATACATAAACAGTCGTGTTAATAAATGGGATAAAGGTATTAGTTTATAGACTAGACTGTTCAGATAGTTTGTACTGATATTTATTAATTTTTTCCAAAATTTTATTGTAATTATTGCCTCTCCTGTATTTATCTGTCTGCTCTTTTTGTCAGTTAGCCAACAAAATAAGACTTTACATGCAGATATGAAATGTGTTGCATTGTTGGATACTTTTTTTTTTTTAATCTGAAGCTGAGTAATCCTAGTGAAAAATGCGTAAAAGCAGGACTTTACCGATCACGTTTTACTGCGTTAGGCCCTACAGGGATGCTCGCAAAGAGCTGTGATCAGTTGTTATCAGAAACAAAAGAGGGCATGCGAATCAAACAAGCGCCCTAAAGAAGAAGTACATGTTTGATCTCAAGTAATTCAAAAGATTAGAAAACCAATCCAGGCTAAATTACACACCTTGTAAATTCTAGAGAGCGCATCGCAGGGGGCCCGGAGACTTCAGAGGCAAACAAATGGAAAGATCTCTCAGACACAATACTACTTGCACTTCAAAGCCTGCCGAGAGATAAGAGGAGACTGAGGATGTTCCTCCTCTGATAAAATGCCAAAAAAAATATTTGAGACAAGCAGGGATCTCCTTTGCGTTCATTCATAACAACTGACAAAGTCTCCGCACTGCAAAAACCTCAATCTGCCTGAGGAATTCTTTTTTAGTTTTGAGTCTATATTTTAAACACGTCTTTTCTTTTCTTTTTTCACCCTATTAAATCTACTTTCGGCTGCATGTTTGTTTAAGTTTAAAAAAAAGAAATTACGCCGGATGCCCGACTCAAACTGACTCAAACTTCGGGATCTGCGTCTCCTTCAACCAAGGAATTTTCGTTTGTTAGGTGAATGTGTAAACCACCACAACGTAGAGCTACTATTGCCCTGCAAAATCAAGTAGATTTTTTTTTATCTTCTATGAGTTTATAATTGAGGCACTATGAGAGCGTGAATCAAATAAGCGCTCTTAAAAATACATGCATTGTTAAACAACGCAATACGAAGAAAAATAAAGTTTATTTCAAGACTGATTTAAAAATAAATAATATAAATGAGTTTGTACAGCAGACAAATCTGCCTCACTATGAAAACAAGCCTAAAAGTTTATTTTTATGGGGAACAGGTTCCAATAAGATTATCTTACTGGAACTAAAGAAAAAAAGTGTTTGTTTTTTTTGGTTTTTTTAGGATTCAGTAACCATCCTTCAAAGCAAGTTTTATCATAAATCAGAAAAATAAACAGTCTTCATCAGTGTCTTCCCCCTTCACTTGTCTGCATTATCTGGCTGTAGGAGCACAAACTGCTTATCAGAGTTTGTTTGTAGTTATACATGACTGGGAATGATAAGGAAGCTATAAAAAGGAAAGAAAATGAAGTTCTTCTCCACAGGCCAAGGTGAAATGGACCAGTGGAGGGGGAAAAAAGAAGAGGAGGAGGACGCGGGGGTTGGGATCTGAGGTCGTTTGAGCGAGGACTATTTGAGAGTTGTTGCGGTTCTTGGCAGGAACATCTTGAACAACACCAAAATTGCAGCATATCATGAAATCAATCCCCTCCGCCTGCCCTCAGGTCTGGAGAGGTCAGACGGAGATGCTGGCAGCAACTGGGAGCGAGGTGTTAATCCCTCCCTCCATTGTCAGAGGGACCACATCAGAGCAACTGCACCCTCCTACTACACTTCCCTTATTCACTGTGCTGTGGTTTGTATTTGACTGGAGGTCCACAGGTCAGTTTTACCACCCACCTCCCCCCTCCCAACCCTACTGAATTGTACCTCATAGAGGCGTTTATGGGGAGGCTGACAGGATGTTCGGCCCACCAGGAGATCAAAGTCACTTGAAGTAAATGCGCTCTTGCTTGCTGTGACCTTTTCAACTCTTTTAGGGTTAACATCACAGATGCATGCAAGGCTGGGATTATGGAGGAGCTGGATGAGCTACATTGTGGCAGCAGATAAGTTTCCTTCCTCCTGGGGTTCACACACACACACACACACATATACAAACACACACACACGCACAATCAGAGCTCATTTTTCAGCCCTATCATCTGATCAACCTCAGGTAACAGGGCTGTTGGTTCACTGAAAATAAGACGATTGAAAGTAAGCATCGGGAAGGAGCAATACAACTTCTCACACTGAGAGCAAACAGAAACAATAATGTCTTTAAAGTTACAAGGAGCTGGACGTTTCTTTTACTAGAGCAATGCCACCACTTAACAACAGTGGGAAAGAGAAATGGATCAAGTCCAACTGCAACACGCATGGCGTTTCTTACGGATCACTTTGAATCTGAATGATTTCAACACCAAAATTAAAATACATAAAATACAGCACGACTCAAAAGTGCTTTAGATGGAGGATCGGGACTGCAATGACTGCAAAGACGTACATCTAAAACTGATGAATTCAAAGTCTCTGAGAGTTACTGCATAGTTGTGTGAAATAATGCATTCTCCCTGGTTAGAGCAAAACGTCATAAACCGATATCAGTATTTGCAAGACGTGTTTTATTCACAGACTGTCTCAGCAATGCACAGCTTATACATTTATCCTTATCTTACTGCTGTGTAAATATGATTTTTAGACAGTCTGAACCCATTGAATCAAACAGTGGAGAAAAAGGTTGAAATGAGGAGTAAACATTTCATTTCAAATATAGTTTCCTTTACATTTCTTATGCAATTATTCAGAGAATCTCTGACAACTAATCATTTTATGTGTGCAACATATTATGGGTATTGCTTTCACCCAGATAGTTCCCTTTGTCTTTCTCCCATTAATGACACTGCAAAACATCGACTTTGTTCCAACCGCAGTATTACAAAAAAAGAAAGAAAGAAAAAACAAAAAGGAAAAAAAAAAAGCTGGCAGGAAGTGAATTCCTCTAAAACTCACTGACAGACTTTCTACACACATGTTTCAGATGTTCTCAGTACTTCATAAGCGGTTTTACAATACCAGCACAGTCAACAGTTCATCGAATCCACGTCTGAGTCACAGTGGAGTAGAAAAGTGTGTTCAAAATGGATCAGCAGGGACAACAAATCTGACATATAGTGATTTTAGATTCAGTGTTTATACAAGGCCTTAGATGAAAAAGGCACTTTTGAGCTCAAATATAACAGGAATACAGTCATATGGTGAACAGAGTAGCAACAAAACCATTCCAGAAGAATTTATAAAAGCCTTAACGCTATCATGAATAAGGCAACAGAGGGCCCTGCATTTGAGGTTCATTGCATCCAAACTCCACATAGTTAAAAAAACGAATATACTTCACATACTTGACCATTAAAGCAGTTATTGCTTTAATTGTAACAGTCTTACATTACCTAGAGCCTTAAGGAATGCAGAGATTATAAAATGTGGTATCCTGGTGTATTTCTGGTGCTAGGATAAGGATCTTTCAACCACTAAACATTATAAAACGGCATTAAGTATACTAGCCTTGTTACCCCGTGTCTTTCTTTACAAAATCTGACCTTTTGTGGTATTACCAGTATTGCAATTTGGGAATCTCAAGCAACATCTACTGTAGTTTTTTTCAAGTTTTCAGGAGTTTTAAGAAGTTGCCATTGCCAAAGAATGGCTTTGGGACATTCAACAGTACAGGGATTGTAGCCGTGTCTCTGACAATAAAGGAGAAAAACATGGAGCCCGGGGAGTTCACAGCACGACTCGTCTTTGCGTCTGAGGCTGAATGTGGATCAGAGTGAGTCAGTCCCCTGAAATATGACTCAGAGCACATACAGTTCGACAGCAGTCCACAACCGCAAACACGGAGCTCTTCTCCATACACAAAACAAGGCCACTCTTTGGAATGATGCTGATTAAAAACAGTGTAACCATCAATGAAATATGCAATAAAATATAAAACCATTTAAGAGTAGAAAGTGCTCAGTGTATAGTTGCTCTCTCAGAGAGACAAGTGGCTGGCTGGAGAGCATAGTTTACTATTCTTTACAGTTTGTAAAGGACAGGAGGCCTTGTTGAGTCTTGCGAGCGTGTGACGATGCATCCTACAGAGTCCTCAGGGTTCCTCCCGACTGTCGCTCGTCTCATTTGCCAGCATTCTCTGTGGGATTGTACTCGGTTTCACCTGACGACACCTGAGAGATGCGGCGCGTGGAGCCCCACAGACGACGGGAGAATTGTCCTGAGCGAACCTGAAAGGAGGAGGGCCAGCACGTTAATCTTCACTTCTAAAAAGGCTCGATTATCATAAGAAAAACCTTGTTTTCAGCAAATATTTAGCATACAAGAGCCTCCTTCCCACACCCCCACTCTCTCACATCTGACAGTTACCACTCCTGCTTCTCACCTCCTCTGGTTTCCCAGCCCCCACCACAATTAACTTCCCGTCTTCTAGTCCCACTAGGATGTGGCTGCACTCTTTGGTGACAGACACACTCCTCACAGTGACCCTCAAGGCCAGGGGTGTCACCAAAGCATCCAGGCTGCAAAAGAGGGAAGAGTTAGAACCAAACATTTTTTTGCTCTGAAGTTTTGTGCAAATGCTATAAATTAGCAGCCTTTAAATTAACATTGCACTGTGTTCTTCATCTCTTTACCTGTACAAGTCCCGAATGTGGAGCTTGCCTTGAATAGTTCCCAGGATGACATATTCAGACACCAGGTGGAGTGCAGTCACCTGCTCCTCCATGGTGAAAGAAGACAGCAGACAGCCGTTCACTGAGTAAACATGAATGGAGTACTTGCCCT